ACAAGCAACGCGTCTCTCGATACTATGACTCTAGGGTCAAATCCCGTTCTTTCCGAATCAGAGATTGGGTCATGCGGAAAGTCTCTCTGGCAACCAAGAATTCCACGGAAGGAACCCTCGGACCTTCCTGGGAGGGACCCTACGAAATCATCGGTATCCAGCGATCGGGGACTTATCGACTTAGAGACTCCAACGGAAAGACCCTCAGTCATCCTTGGAATGTAGAGCATTTGAAGTATTATTTCAAATGATATCACCTGGCCTACGGTTGGGTCACGGAGGGGTCCCAAGAGCCTCGACATCTCTACATGCACAGCCTTCGGCATTACAGCGTTTCCTAGCCAACGACGGGTTCTAAATTGTAAAACGCACTCCTAATTGTACTCTTGCCTTCGACAGTTTATCAATAAAAGGGCCTTCGGCTCGTATATTCGGCACCTTTGTTGTACCTCTCAATCTCTCCATTTTTTGTTTTTCTTTTTTTTTACGGTAGAGACCATCGGTCGCAGCAAACTACACATTTTGGCGTCGCCATTATCCTACCGATTAAGGGACAACTTGGTAGACTTTATTGGGCGTTATAGGCTTTCGGTAATTACAGGCCATTGCTTTACAGTCGGTAATTACGGGAACTTTACTGGCCAACGGCCAATGTCTTTTTGTTTAAGGGCCTTCGGCATTAAACAGAAACATTCCCTAAGTACGCTACCGATTCATAAAGAGATGCAAGTAATTAAAAGTGAAAGCACAACTTTAATAAAAATATGCCCACGACATTAATTATCCAAACAAAAGATGCCAACGGCATCAAAGTTATAACGAAATTACAAAAATACGTTCGGCATCAAAATTACATTAATAAAGGCAGGTGATCAGGATGCAGGGCCCTCGGCATCCGCCCCTTCGGCACCGGCAGCTTCGGGCTCCTCCGGAGCGTCTTCCCCCTCGTACTCTTCGATCATTTCTTCCGTGACGCCTTCTGGAAGGGGAGGAGGATCGGCAATGAAGTTCAAGTTGAGCTTCGTCCCAGGATTGTACCGCTTGAATCGGTAGATGAGATCCACCATCTCCG